TAAATGGGTAATGTCAGTATTTTCATTTTCAACCTTTGTCATTGTTATCACAGCTTGCACTGGGAGAGCCTACTGAAACAGACATCATCAAAAACTTACCCACACTTCAAGTTATCTTCAATAGAGTACTAAATGTGCCAGTAATCATGCCTGAGGGGCACACCATGTTCTTCTGGCTTCTACAGAGTGTCAAAGATTATCAGTGAAGGTTCTCCAGAGAAATACTATGAATGGAAGATGATGGATAGATAGATGATAGATAGATAGATAGGCAGGTGACTGATAGATACATAGGTGATAAACAGCAGAAATATAGATAGTAACTACATGATTGATAAATATAGATAGGTGATATATAGATGATAGAGATAGATGGATGTAGGGATAAAGGTATAACTATAGCTATATTTACAATGGGATGATGGTTACAAATATACATACAGATTAGATATAGGTATAGACACACATACAAAGACATAAGGAGAACTTTTCTCAGGGACTGGCCCATGCAATAAGGATGGAGGCCAGAGCAGGGAGACAGTACTGCAGACAGGGGCAGCTGGGTCGAGCATGGTCACCCATGGGGAAGGAGTGATTAGGCCCTCAGGACAGGAGGGATATGCAAGAGTGATCCCAGAAGGCCTCATGAGCAACAGAATGGGGTAGGAGGGAGGCAGACAGTTGTCATTAACCAAGCTCAGGGACCCCAAGGGAGGCAGGGACCAGAGGCAGATATTTTGAAGAGACAGGACACAATACAGAGAATGGAAGGGGAAATCTGCACTTTCTCCCTGGATCCCAGCTCATGGCTCATGAGAAAAGAAGACTGAATCTATATAAACAAAGTGAAATAAGGGCACTCCAATGGGCTTCAGGGAAGCGCACAGGATTGGAATGGACCGGTGGATCATGTGACCTGCAACAGCTGGTGAGTGACTCTAATCCAAGCAACAGCTATACCCCTAGAGAGAGTGTTTGATCAGTACCCATTCTGGGGAAGGGTTGACTCTTTGAGCTCAGGAGTCAGAGTAGCCCTGAGATGACTTCTATTCAGGGCTCCTAGGGTTATGTTCTCACAGTGACTGGATGAGAGAAAGGCACAGGAGGCGGCCATGGTCAGGGAGCCACAGATAGACTAGCAAGGGACCCCCTGAGGGCTACAAGCTAAAGAGCCCAGGCCTCAACCCCAGGGCCAGAGCCCAGGCTTAACCCTGAATTACTCTGGATTTGAAAGTTGCAGAATTGGCACCCTAACCTTAATCCTATGGCTGTTGATGTCTGCATCCAGCATGGACCTGGGGCCTGACACCTGGGGTCTGATGGCCTTCTGTAGCTATCAGCATGAGCAAGGGCACGTCTTGGCAGGGGCACTGCCTCACAATTGCAGATGATGGAAGAAAATGACACATTTAAAATCAGAGAAATTTCCTTTTTGTTTTTTCTTTGTTTTTATATTGGATTTGGCTTTTAATTTTTCTTTTTGTTTTTCCTCTTTTGAGATTGTGTGCATTGTTTCTACTTTTTGCTTTGTTTTTGATTTGTTCTTACTTTCTCTTCTTGTCTTTCCTCTTTTCTTCACCAATTTATTGGAGCTTGGGAAATTTCCCTTTTTTCTGCTTCCTTGCTTATTTGTTTTGCTTTTTTAATTTTTATTACTTTTTTTCAGTACTGGGAATCGAACCCAGGGGCTTGTGCTTACCAGGCAGGCATGGCACCACTTAGCTAAATCCCCAGCCTTCTATTTTTATTGATTCCTCTTCTCCTTTTAAGTTTTTTCTCTCTTCTTTTTATACTGTATGCAATTGCTTTCTTTTTCTCCCTATTTTTTAATCTTCTGTTTCTCATCAGTTTTTTCTCTTATCTTTACCTAATTCTATGAAGATCTTTCTATTCCCCAATAAGATGTTTTGTATCACTTCTCTCTCCTTCTTCTCATATCATAGAGTTTAACGTTTCAGAGTTTTTCTCTTGCATTCCCCCATTCCCAAACCCTATATCTTTAGTAGTATAACCATAAGGCTTTGCTAATCTTTTTATAATTAACTCTGTAAAATTACTATTGAATTCTTTTTCTAAAATTAGCAAGGATATAACTGTTGCATTTAGTGTTCATTAGCTGTAGGCCGATACTTGGGTTGTCTTAATGTTTACACCATAATTGTGGATTTCTTCTCCAGGATTAAAGGCAATACAATTTGATTGTTATCATGTGTTAGCATTCAGTTTATTTTGGACAATATTACTCTAGCTTATTGACTTGATAATCACATGGTCACAAATTTGTCACTATTTCTTTGCAAACCAACACTCAAATTAAATCTGTGATATTAACAATAATAGAGTGCATTCCCAGAGAACTTGGTAGTTATGATAACTACAATGCATCCTCCATTCTCAAGTTAACCAAAGTGGTCCAATCTCAGGACTGTGACAAAGGATTATAATCCTCCACAATAGCTCATCCAGCTATCTATCTACTGAAACCTCTACAAGCTGTGAGCTAAAATAAACCTTTCTCCCTTTAACTCATGGGTGTTGGGTACTTTGGCCCAGCGATGAAGAAGTAACTACAACAAGAATGAGGAGAAACCCTAAAGAATGGGGAAAATTTTCTTTCAGCTGTTTCTCAGACAGAAGACTAATATTTGAAATATGTAAAGATATCAAAAAATTAAACCCCCCAAATTTAAAGGCCCAATCAAAACTGGGCATCTGAAGTGAATAGATACTTCTCAGATGAACTACAAAGAGCCAATAAATCCATGAAAAAATATTCAACATCTCTAGCCATTTGAGAAATGCAAGTTAAAATAACACTGAGGTTTCATCTCACTCCAGAAAGAATGGTTATCATCAAGAAATCAAATAGTAACAAATACTAGAGAGGCCATGGAGAAAAAGGAGCACTTCTTTGTTGCTAGGAATATGAGCTGGTGGAAATTGCTGGTGGAAACTGCTATGGAAATTGCTGAAAAAACTAAAAGCAGAAATTCCATTTGACCTATCTATTCCTCTTCTAGGTATCTTCCCAAAAGAATTAAGGATATTTTATTACAAGGATACATGCATACCCATATTTATAGCAGCACAATTCACAATAGTCAAATCTTGGAAGAAACCTATATGTCCATCAACAGATGAATGGATTAAGAAATTGTGGAAATGTTTATAGCAGCATCATTCATAATAGCTAACTCCTGGAGGCAGCCTGTATCCTATCAACAGACAATTAGATAAAGAAAATGTGGTATTTATATAGAATGAAATACTACTACTCAACTATAAAGAATAACAAAATCTTTCCCCATTACCTGTGCATCCTTCACCTCCTCCCCCTTCCCTATTTACATAGACTTCGTTTCCATTTTTTTCCTTTTCTCATAATTTTTCCTTTCCCTTCTTTAAAAACCAAGATGCATCATGTACAGGTACAAGCACCCAATGATAAATCTAAACATACTGTACACCTAAAATGTGCCAATAAAAGAATTTAAGGGAAAAAATAACAAATTTATGACATTTGTAGGAAAATGGATGCACCTGGAAAATATCATGTTGAGTGAAATAAACCAGAAACACAAGCTTAAGTACTGTATGGTACCTTTCATTTAAGTGAGGAACATACAAAGAAAGAAAATAATAAAAGATGGATAAAAGGGACAAAGGGATGAATCTCTTGCAACTGGGAAGAGGGTTCAGGGGAACAAGGGCAAGGGGTGAGGTAGAGGGGAAGGAGAAATAAGTAGAATAAACATATGCCAGGTACAGGAACCTAATAACCTGAATGAATGCACACATAATATGCCATGACATGGGGTAAGATAACTAATACCAAGAGTGGGGATAGTGGACATCCTTGTCTTGTTCCTGATTTTAATGTGAAGGATTTCAGTTTTTGACCATTTAGTATGATATTGGCTGTTGCTTTATCATAGACAGCTTTTATCAGATTGAGGTAGAGACCATCTATTCCAATTTTTATAGGGTTTTTATCCAAAATGCATGTTGGATTTTGCCAAATGTATTTTCTGCATCTACGGAGATGGTCATCTGGTTTTTGTACTTGGCGCTATTGATATAGTGTATTACATATATTGATTTGCACATGTTGAACGATCCCTGCATCATTGGGATGAATCCCACATGGTCAGGGTGTATGATCTTCTTCATGATCTGCATTCTATTTGCGAGAATCATATTAAAAATTTTTGCATCTATGTTCATTCAGTATAGTCTTTGAAACATTAGCCACAGCAAGTAGACAACAGAAAGAAATAAAAGGAATTAGGACAGGAAATGAAAAAGTCAAATTGTTATTATTTGCAGATGACACGATACTCTACATAGAAGAACCCAAGGACTCCACCAAAAGTCTTCCAGACTTAATAACCAAATTCAGTAAAGAACCTAGATATAATGTCAACACAAAAAAAATCAATAGCTTTCCTCTACATGAACAATGGACTCACTGAGAGAGAAATAGGGCAAATAATTCCTTTCACAATAGCATCCAAAAAACTGAAATACCTAGGAATCAACCCAACAAAAGAAATCAAA